TGTTTCTGAGGCGGTAAGGGTGGGAGCCCACTTAAAACTGAAGAACAATTTTTTTTCACCTGCTGGAAGCTCTACAAGGCCTCAGGCTCTGGGGTGAAGGCTAGGTCCCCACCTAACGGGCACTGAGAACTTGTAGTGTGACTCAAACCACACTGGACCCAACACTGGTCAGTGCTATACTGACAACATAGACGGACAGGTGGCACATATCAAATAAGGAGTTCATAGGTCTTTGGAGAGTGGCGGTAGCTGTTTGACTAAAGTTGGACTCCCCAGCTCGTAGTGGTTTAATAGGAAAAACATAACTTCATATCCATTTAATGAAACTCTTCCCCTTCTGAAGAAAAAAACCTCAAAGGTGATTTCCCTAGAAAGGAAAAAAAAAGTCTTAGAATATTTTTCAGAGTTAGTCATTCAAAAACAGTCTAAATACTCAAACTGTATTCCCAACCAAAAATTTTAGTCACCTACCAAAAATTAAGATAAAAAGATAATCTGGGTTTATCAAAAACAAACACTATAAATATCACTACTATTCTTTATTTGTCATGAATGAGGAAAATAGTTGTCTTACACTACAACCCTTAGTACAAGACTTTATTTATAAGCCACATGACTACAAAATATATTTTTGTATCTTGGCAAAAATACTATTCTAATCAAAATACAAATTCATTCAGTTAGTTCATAATAATTTTATACCATTGGAGGTTTTATTCTAAGTTTTCTAACTCAAAAAAAAAATAAAAACTGCATCTTTATGGTAAAGATGACTAAAGAGAAAAGAAGATAAACAACACTTTGTCTAGACAATTTAATAATTCAATAGAGCTCTTGATCTTTGGGACTTTCTGAGAGACAGGGGATGAGACTTCTGGGGCTTGGTGGCCAGTCTGATGGGACCAGCTTCAATAAATAGAAATAGAATAGTTGTGGCTAACTGCAGTCTTGACCCATTCACCCTTTCGTTGTTATGTGACATCCTGACTGTGTACCACTAGTAGCATATAGCTAGTTTTTGTGGGTCCTATATTCTATTAGGGGATGTGTAGCAGAACGGGTTTTAAGGTCTATTTTTTTCTGATATACCTAAGTTATTAAGACTTTTCAGTGCAGTAAATTCACGGTTGTCCTTAACTTATAGCAAATTTAGCCTTCTAATTACTTTTCTGAAATTTGCCTTAATAATGGTAGTTAACATTTACTGGTGCCAGGAATTGTTCTAAATCCTTTAGGTATAATAGTTTACTTAAAGTTAATTTGAATAACTGATTCTGAGTCAAATTCAATTTCTCATTTCTATTTAATAGATATAGAAATCCAGGCAGTGTTATTTTATGTAGCCTTTTAGTCACTTTGAGTGACTATGTAGCCTTTTAATGCACTTTTATGTAGCCTTTTAATGCACTTTGAGTCATTCCACTATGTTGTCTGATGTGTAAACCTAAAGTGATTCTGTAAGTCTATTTAGCAATGGATCCTACTTGAGATAAAACTAATCAAACTTCTAGCGCTGCCTATGTGCCGAGTTTGTCATGGGCACTTTATACAAACATGAATTCATTTACTCTTCACCTTGCTCCTGTGAGTAGCATTATTATTCCTTTTGTATGGAAAGAGAAATTGAGGCACAGAGAGAATAAGTCGTTTTCCCATGGTCACGCAGCTAGTACATGATAGAAATTCAGGGGAGAAATTTAAAACAAACAAACAAAAAAACCCACCTCTTGCTTATTGTTAAAATTATTTCAATATACTAGTCCTGCCAGAGCTATTTGCCTCTGAACACTTAGAGGCTAAATCTTAGCCACCTTGTTCACAAATAAAAGGGAGTTCCATGGTCTGTAAGTACCATGGTTCCTTGAAGTACTCCTATTGATTGGGTATAAAAACCCTGCAAAGTCACTTAGAAAGAGAATTATTTACACCAGTTCAAATACCAGCTTTCTCTCTGACCACAATCCCAACATTTCTTTTCCTACTCTAAGAATAGTTCTAAGGAGGTACAAAGTATTCAATGGCCTCTAGAAATGCTAATTTAACCTCAGCATCTGTGAGCAGGTCCAGATAATTGTTCAGACTGGAAATCCTAGCCCCACTGCATACCAGCTATGTACCCCTGGGCAAGCACTCCATCCCTCTGACCTCAGTGTCCTGCTCTATAAAATGGGGATAATAATTGTCCTACTTCAACAGAGTTGCTGTGCAGATCAATCGAGCTAATATGTATGAAGCTGGTAGAGAAGTACTTGACCCAAAGTTAAAAGTGAACAAAATTTGGCATTATTATTTCAGAAGACTCCTGTTTCTATGAACATGAATTACTACAGACATAAATGCAGAGCTATCCCCTGAGGCCTGAGGAAATCCTAGACTTCTCCCAAGGAAACTGAGCTCATTCCTTTTTATCTTCAGAAAAAATAAAAAGAATCCAGCTGGAAGTACTCAATGGTTAAGATAGATACAACTTGGTACTGAACTAAGTTAGTTTGCCAAAGTTATTTTGTTTCACAGAGCTTCTATGTGTGACATCATCACGAGCTAGAAGTGTTTATTTAACCTGATTAATATAACTAGGCAACCTGCATCATTAAGAATAGTTGTTCGGACCAAGTATTCTAATGTTTGTAAGGGATAAATATTATTCTGCCTACCCCTTCTTTAGATCATCTAAGAGATAGTGGCATTAATTATTTTCGAAATGTCATGAAAGTACATTTCCTGAAGGCCGAAAATAACAATATAGAACACCAGAAACCAAAAATACACAAATAATATCCTCGTTGGGTATAGAAATTACCCAGTATGAAAAGTAACAGAAAAGAAAACATGTGGAAACTCAACTTCCTGGGGAGAAGTGCGATAATACAATTAGGACCGTTGAAATTTAATGGTACCTGGACGTTTTATTATTTTCGCATGACACTTTCATTAGTGGAAACTCACTTTTGCTCCATAGAAGAGTTCAATAAATTAACCCAGAGCCTTAACGTGAGTTATTGGCTTAATGCAAATCCAATCTGGGTATAAGTTAGGCCTTTTCAAAATTTACTACAGAACGTTACACTAAGGGAAGTTTATGAAGTGTACTCACTCTGCTAAATTGCGTGTATAAATACGAAATGATTGTACTCAGGATAAAACCAATATCGTGAATTTTAGTAAAGCTTTTTGAGCTAAAGTGGATCACAGAGCTTACATCATCCACCAGAAGCCTAGAGAGATTAAGTGATTTGTCTGAGGTTATACAGAGAATGAGTGGTTTCTCCAGATTTCAGCCCAGTGAGGAAGGCCCTTCCACAGCATGCATTCAGACAGTATATTACAATGGGAACACTAATTGAAATTACAATAGCCTCCATGTGTTTGTCCTCTGAGCCAGGTATTCTATCAGGCTCTGCACAGGACCCTTTGTCCCACCCCTACACTGCCTTATGTCCTCCCAGCTCTAGGAGGTATGTCTTGATATCCTTATTTTACAGAGTGGATGACAGAGATCCTGTGAGTATGACATGTTCAAAGTCTCACAGCTAGCAAATGCCAAGAGCTGGGACCACTCTGAATGGGTACTCTTTCTGCAGGACTGGCTGCTTCATTCCCAGGGATCAACATGACCACATCTTTCATGGTTTTCCTTTAAAATCAGTATTTTGATCTCCTGCAAAAATAGACTCCACTGTACGAAGAACTATCTGAATGACCCAGGATTCTTGGGTCACACTCAAAGGAAGAAGCATTAGAACTATAAATTACTTGTCTTTTGTTCTTGAAAACTAACTAGTTGACTTTTAATAACATCCTGTGTAAACAGGCCGCTAAAGTATGAAAACACTAGTTCTTGGCTTACATAAGTCATGGATTCAAGACCATAACTTAAAACCAAACGAAACAGTGAAGCATAAAAAGATGAGAAGCTAATATTAAGCCTAATTCGGTGTAAATTAACCCTTTGAGGTTAACTAGACACATTTATAGAAAAGTATTATTTAGGTAATATTTCATTTTATTTGAAAGAGAAACTCCCAAATATAAGTAATACCCTGTCTTTAAGTTAAAAATCTACTGGAAACTGACTGATGTATTCACATTTTGGGGAAAGTTATCAACATAGTAGCAAAGTCACAGACCACTATTTTAGATTTACCAGAGAAACTGTTAAATGTTTACTTAGAAGTAGAAGCATTAACTCCCAGGCAAAATGAGGCAATATTATATTTAACTGTTTGTTTGGAAACTTCTTTTATTAAAAAAGATTTTAAATAGTGATGCTATTTTCAATACAGGTGTGATAATACTCAATAAAGCATGGTATACTTAATGTTGTGAATTTAGGAATGTACCAATCCTTCTAGCTCCTGGCCCCTCCAACTTCTAAAACATACCCTAGTAGCAAAATGCAAAAACCCTTTTCAAAAGTAAAGAGGTCTTTGGACAGTTACATGATCAGAGCCAGATGGGGCAAGGGAAGCCCTCTTTTCTGAATTATTCATCCTTTTGGCTTTGACTTCACTTAGACCAGGTCTAAGAGAACTGAGACAAACCCTTCTATACTCCTCAAAGGGAGGGAGAAAAAAAGCTTGTGGTTCACAAGCAGCTATGGACAAAACCAGCGTCAGGGTTTTTAGGGAAATTAGGGATAAAAAAAAAAAAACAACCCAGAAACCTAGGGTAAAGTGCACAGTTACTGTCAAAAATATATTATTTTTGATCCTAAGAAAATTAAGAGAATTTTATCTAATGAACTAGATTGCTGACCTTTTAATACATTTGGTTTTCATGGAACATACAATCACCATCGGACATAAAAAGACTAAGTTTGCTTTTTAAAAAAATTTTTGCTTGGAGTTATCTACAGGAATCTTGTGAACGCAATTCAAGGATCACATTCTGCAGCTCTTTGGATAGTGAATGGTTTCCTCTCTTCGGTCAATCCACCAAGGACTGATTCGAATGGTTTTTCTCCCATCTTCTCTTTCCTTCCCCACTTTGTTCCCTTTTCCCTAAATGCCAGTGCTCTCCAGTTCTCCGTCTTCTACCCCTATGGCATGAGACCTGGAAATCATGAAGAGTTTCTCCTTGTTTGTAAACTGCTTCTGCACCGCCTGAGGTTGCTCGGCCGCGGTTGGCTCTTGGTCGGGACCCTCCGGGGGCTCTGCTCCGCACCCGAAATGGTGGCGGCCGCACAGTCTGGCCTTTTACTGACAACTGCATCCGCGACCGACCCCAGGGAGGTGCCGGCCTCCCGCAAGGGGGTGTAGCACTTATTGCTGCTGGATGGCTCATCCGATGGCGAGCTCCGCGAGTCCGGCCGGGCGTCAGGCGAGTCCTCCAGTCGCAGGGGAGGCGAGGGACAGGCGGCTGTGTCCGGAGGACTGGAGTCCAGGTCCGCAGCGCTCGGGGACGGCGGGGCTCCGGCGATCGCGGCGCCCGGTAGTCCGGGAGCCCGCTGGTGCTGCGGCGCAGCAAGGCCGCGTACCTGCCGGTCCTGGGCAGGCGACCGCCCTGCCCCCTGGCGGCGCGCGCCGTCGCCGCGCCCTCGGGCTCCTCCAGCTCGCCGTGCGCCCAGCGCGCACCGCCCTCGGCACCGCGGAGGTCGGTCAAGCTCAGGTCGAGCTCGCCCCGCGGAATCTCCTGGGAGCCGCGTTCCCCAGGCGGCCTCTGCCAGCTGCAGCTCGCGCCCTCCGCGTCCCCGTCCCTGTCGCCGTCCCCTTGTAAAGGCAGCAACGCGAAGGCGCTCAGCGAGGAGCCCACGAGGGAGCTGGCGGTGCTCTGGCGCCCCCAGCTCTCGGGTGGGCTGCAGGGCGCCGGGCTGCTGCTGCTGCTGGCTGCCGTGGTGGCAGTGGCTGCGGTGGCAGCCAGGGCGGCTGCGGTCCGGCGACGGCCGGCCACACCGGAGCGCTCGCGGTAGATGCTGTACACAGCCTCGGCCAGGCTCGGAGGCTCCCGCGGGCAGCCAGGGGAGGACGCCAGGTCCGGCGGGGACGCTGCGGCCCGAGCCCCGCCGCCGCCCCCGCCCAGCGCCGCGGGGTGGGGCCACGAGCCCCGGGTCAGCATAGCTGCCGCCCCGAAGGCGTCCCCAGCGCTGCCACAGCTGCTGGGCTTCAGCTCCAGGCCCCGGGACTGCACGTAGCTGAGGAAGCCATTGAGCGGCGCCGTCCCGGGGGTCGCCGCGGCGGGGGCCGAGGAAGAGGAGGAGGCAGCGGCTGCTGCGGCCGCGGCTGCAGCCGCCGCCAGGTCTTTGGCCCGAAGGCTGTGCACGTCGATGACCGTGGAATAGAGGTCCCGCAGGTTGATGATCTTGGTCTTCTTGTCCCGATTCTCGTGGAGCACCGCGTTGGCGCAAATGAAGAGAAAGATGCCTATGCCCATGATGAGGGGCCCGAAGACCTTGAGCTTGTCCGAGTGCAGGTAGCCCGAGAAGATTCGGAAGAAGCCCACAGATGTGGAGGAGGACGAGGAAGGGGTGGTGGAGCGCACTGGAGGCGTGCTCCTGGGCGCGCCAGTGGAACTCAAGTTGACAACCCCTAAGGCCCCTGGGTGGCCCCTAGACGGGACTTTGCTGCTATTGTTGGCCGTGGTTTGCACGCGGTGACCACTGCTTGCGGATGGCAGTTGCTTGCCCCCCTCCCTGTTGGTTCCGTTGGCTTTGGGCCAGTAGCCCACCACTGCCATGGCTATGCCCACCAGCAGCACCAGGATCCCGCAGAGCGCGATGAGCCCGGAGATGGAGCACAGCTTCAGTTTGCCCTTCACCACCACCACGTCGTTCTTGCGCCTCTTCTTGGCTTTCCTCTTGCGCTTAGAGACCTGGCTTGGGGGCCGGAGGGGATCCTGCTTTCTGGCGGAAATTCTCAGCAGGCCGCCAGTGGCGATCATGGCGAACTCGTGGAGTGCAGGGCTAGCCCCTGGGGCTGGGGCAGAGACTTGTGCAGTGGGGGAGCCTGACGCCCTCTAGCTGCTTGGTCACCTCCTCCTGCTGCAAAGCAGAGGAAGACAGTCAGAGGGTGTAAGCTTGGCTGCAGCAACACACCCCCCGCCACGCGCAGCGATTGCCCTGCTCCCAGATGCCATTCCATGTGTGACCCCACCCCCACCCCAGGGCCTTTACCAGCTAACCCAAGTGCCTTCTACAGAGACTGGGGTGGTTACATGTCAGGGAAAGGAAACATGGCTGCACTTACTAATAGGTGGTGGTGAAACAACTTAAGAGACCCCCCCCACACACACACACACACAGCACCACCACCACCACACATACACACTTCATAGGTCATCTCCAGCAGTGTTCGTTTCAAACTCTCGGGCTGGCAGCCAACAGAGTTCCCACCATTAGTAAAAACTCAATGTGGGACTTAAGGTAGTGGTTGAAGACTTTACTGGCAAGAGCCTTTCTCCACTGGAATTGGAAGATTTCCCAAGTGAGGGTCCACAGGAGTGTCAAGTCTCCAACTAAGCCCAGGAATCTGTCAGGTGTGGGGCCCAAAGTCACTAAACAATCATGAAAGCTACTAGGGGAGAAAGACAAAAGGAATTCATTTCACTGGATGAAAATGAAAGGCCATATGTTGGCAGGAAGATGGCTTATTTACTTCAGATAATTGATAGAGTTCATTGCTAAAACACCAGAAATATTTCAAGACTCTAACAATAAATCCCTTCACAAAGTTGCCTCTCTCCTATTCTGGTTTCTACAGCTAAAGGCAAGCAGACCCCTCCCACAGCCTTCTCATCTCTGCTCTGCAACATCTGGACAGCTTCTTGGGCTGGAATATTTAGTTTTAGGTAACTGTTATGTAACTGAGCTCTTCCTTCTGGCCTTCTCTCCTCCCTCAGAGGAACTCCCTTCAAGTAACTTGTGCTAGATTTCATCAGGGAATTTGAGAAGTCCCCTGGAGTCTCCAAGTAAAAAGTCCTTTTCTCATATGGGAAAATTACAGTCTTAAAAAAAAAACACTCTGCTATAATATTATATAGCATATAATATATTAGTGACCCCCTCATTAATGAGCCAACAGCATTCTACAGAATCCCAGTATTCAAATAAGTAGGCAATTAACTAGGTAAAGCAGTCTGCAGAATAACGATGACTTATTTGATGGCATTTCCTTCATCTTTTTCTCATGAGGTCATTTTGGGGATGGGAGGGTGGCAACAAACAAATGGACTCTCCCTAGGAAGTTTATTTGGTGGTTTGTAACTGCCTGGTTAGGTAAATTCACACAAGCCTATTTGTGGTTATCTGCTAGCTTCTTAAAATTCCAGTCCTGCTGGATCTTCAGAGTAAAACGTTTTCTGTTCCATTGGTCGTGTTCCCTCCTATAATAGAGATGCTAAAATAGGGCATGGCAAGAATCTGAAAAGATATAGATATCACTCACAGGCCTATCTGTATTTTATCCTTTATAAGAGAAGTCATGTTTTAGAATAAATTACCCTTTGAAAATGTGGGATTACTTAGGTAGAATTTTGCTTTTAATTGATGCTTGGGTGAAAAGCTTTGGCCTTTGGTTCCTTTCATATCAGTATAGGCAGGATCTTTTCTCCTTGTGGGAAAGCAAATGGTAACCAGCTCTTTACAAGGTTTGCAAATCAATGTCTCTTTGGAACTTAGTTGGGATTCGGTAAAGAGAAACACTGGGTGATATAAGGAAAGGTTAACAGAAAGACTATATCCACAATCCTTTTAAATGTGGTTTTTAAAAGGAGCTGTACCAGTAAGCACAAAGGTGGGGGAGAGAGAGAAAGAGAGAGAGAGAGAGAGAGAGAGAGACTCTTACTGTCCATCCATTTGCAACATAGAGAGTGCTATTTTATGTGACCCCTCTGGCATCTTTAATAATCTGAAATTCTGTGTTATCTTCAGGAGGTTTTAAGGACCAGATATGTTAAAAACAAACCCAGATTCAATGTGCAAGGTGGCTAAGGTTTCCTGGGATGCTCCAAGGTTCTGGCTAGTGTAGGGGGAGGGCACCCACTTGTATTCCTCCTCAGACAGGCTGCTTTGGCTCCCGCAGAATGTAAGGAAGGTTGGGATGGATTTCAACAATCGTTCGCAGAAGATCTTTAAAATTAGTTTAATAGCTAGTAATTAGCTCCCTAGTTTATTATTCTTTCAGCTCTCTTGAAAGCTGAACTCCTTTTCAACGTATCACCATCTGGCATGAAATTCTGACAAAAGTCAGGTGCCATGGAAGACCTACCTTGGAGGCTTTTCGTTAGAAAACAAACTTAGCGGTGGAGGTCAGCTGCCCTCGCCATGGACTGCCTGGTGCTGGTCTTCCCAAGGTTAAGGGATGGAGGATGGGGGAAGAAAAGGAGGGATGTCTAAAAATACAACTGCTTGCAAGAAAGACATTCAAGTTCTCCGCTCATGATAGATGGATCCCCACTGGCGTCTGGGGCTCAGAGCCTCAGGCTGCAAGCGCCAGGCTGTGCCCGGCCCTAAGCCAGGGTCCTGGACCCCGGCCCCTCACCGGCAGGGCGGCGCGCCCCTTGCCCTTGGCTTTGGTCTGCTTACTGATGCCGGAGTCACATGAGTGCAGCAGCTGCGAGGCCGCCTCCGGAGGGGATGGAAGGAGCGAAGTGAGGGCAATTCCGAATTCGCTCTTCTGGGCAGGGCGGCCCGGGTGGTCCGAGCAGGAGAACACCCCGCCGGGAGCAGCAGCCCCGGGACCGGGCCTCAGGGGAGGAGGGCTGGGGAGGGGCGCTCGGGGGCTGGGGGAGTGACAGAATTGCTCAAAATGGCAGCACGAGAAGCAAACAATATCGCTCACTTACCCAGGGAGACCAGGGCAGCTCGGGGCTGGCGAACGGGCGCTCGGGCGACACAAAGGAACCATGGAGAAACTTTTCAGCCCGAGCCGACGGCGGAGCGCAAGGACAGCGCCTCGGGGCCCCGCACGCGAGAGCGGCTCAGCACCCCCGCGGGGGCGATCGCCCGCCCCGGGCTCGCAGACCCCTCGGGCGCCGTGGTGGGAGCCATTTCCAAGAGTTTGCAAGAAGTGTCAGGTTCTCCGTATCCTGCTAGCCTCCTCGGAGCCCTTCTCCCCTCCGGTGCTCCTCCTCCCGCTCCTCCTCGGCGTCGCCTCCCGCGGCGCTCTCGGCCGGCCCCTGAGGCCGTGCGGTCCCGGGCCTTGCGCCTCTTTTGTGTGGCAGTGGCGCGCCGGGCTCTGCCGGGTGGAGTTGAGCCCGCGGCGGCAGCTCCGGGCGGCCGGAGTGGCGGCTGTTGCTAAGAGACCGGAGCCATGACACAGGGAAATTGCGGCAGGATGGCAATCGGTACCCGGCCCGATCGCGCTCAGGGGCGCACCCGCCCCCCTCCCCGCCCCGCCCCCCGCCTCCTCCCGGCGCTCTTCTCCCCACACACCCCGCGGTCTCCCCCCACCCAGCTCCCCACCGCTTCCTCTCCCGCGGCTGCCCGTCCCTTCGGAAGCGCAGCGTCCCCCGAAGAGAGGCGCTAAAGGGCGGTGGCGGAGGTCGGGCGCTCCTGCTGGGGTCGTGGCGCCGGCGCGCAGGACAGGGTGCGGGGCGCCCCGGGACCGCCACCTGCATCCGCTGGTAGCTTTGTTCTTTGTCTCCCAACTACCTGTCTGAGCAGTGGGCCAAAGAGGACCCAAAGAAAGGCCCGTCCCTCTCGGGGAGGGGGAGGGAGAAGTCCCCAGATCAGCACCCGAGGGGCGCTCTCCTGGGAGCCAGGGGTAGTGAGTGTCCCAGTCTCCCTCCAGGCCTCCCTCCCTCTACTCTGCTCTCTTTTTTGTTGCTTCTACTCTTCGATGCGACACAGCCTGGGCTGTCTCCCTCTCCCACTTGGGAGTTTGCGGTGTGGACGCCCAGCGAACACAGTAAGTTGTCCTCCGGCGAACTCTGGCCCAGTGGAGTGGAGCGGCCCCCGCAGCGCGCACCGCAGGATCGCGCAAGCCTCTGTCTGATGCTACCGCGCTCCGGCCCAGCCGGGCTTTGTGACCCGCCTTGTGGGGACCACAGTGGCTCCCTCGGGCGCAGGCAGATGGGGATCTTTGGTGAAAGAGAATCGACCCTCTTCCTCCAGCGGCCCTGCTGCTCCTACCCGTCGCTGTAATCAGCAAGCGTTAAAAGGAAAACTAATTCTCCAAGAATCAGGGTTAGCATCAAAGAGGGGAGGTGGAGTAGGGAGGATGTCCAAACTCCCTACGTCATTTGAAAAAGAGAAAGGGAGAGAGATCCTGTTTCCTAGCTCATCCCTCGCCTCTCAACTGTAAAGTAAAAATGACAGGGAAAAGAGACTTTCCGAGTGGAATTTCCCCACGGAGTGCTGAGAAAGTAAAAAAGATTTCAATTATCTATTGAAATGAGGCAGCCCGGATTTTGGAAGAGAGGAGCAGAAGAGCAGATAGAACAAATGCAGGCTGAAATTTGGAGTCCAGACAAATACGTTGTTGGTGGTGGATATTGAATATTCTGAGTTTTTATTGTCTTGGGATCCACAAAACCCACATGGTCGGGGGAGGGGGCTTTGCTGTCCATAGATCCGGTCCCAAGGTTGTTCTCAATGTACAGGGTAGCCCCTTCCTTTTAAACCTAGAGCAGACACCTTTCCAAAAGAGCAATAAAGATGCAAAATTTACAGGTTCAGTGATACAAATGTGGATAATGAAGATGGGAGGAACTGAGGAGAAAGCACCTGCCTGTTTGAAAGGCGGCCTCTGCCACCCTTTTCAGCAAATAATGAATCTGAGTTATGGTCAGAGTGTTACGAACTCACCTCCTTCTACCTGCCTTTTTTGATCAGACCCAGAATATTAGAAAGTAAGTCATAATGAAGGGAAAGTTTATGTCCCTCACTGGAATGTTTCCTTTTAGGGAAACACTGCAAAGGAGAAATAACCCTGTCCAGTTGT